TCTTTTTTCAAATTTCCAAAATTTTGAAAATTTTCCGAGATATTAAGAAAAAACTAAAGCCACATTTTTTTTTCACTTAATTGTTTATAACTTTTGTAATTTTTATCGGCGCGTTTTCGGACCTTGCCCTAAACTTTCTAGGCAAAAATACGAATCGAATGACACCTTGGTCGTAATTTTTGAACAGGGCTGAAAAATGTTACAAAAAAAAGTACATGTGAACTAGACTAATATAGGTAAATGAATTTCCAATCTGCTGGGTGTTTTTGGTGTTTTGTAACTTCATTTCGAAACCTGTATGGATCAAATGAAAATATACATTTCATTAATCATATTATTATTAATGAGTTTGTGGGTCCATAATGTAGTTATTTGAACATTACAATTTTATCCCACATCTTATAAGGTTGATCTAAAGTGATATGAACTCTAGTTCTGTAGGGAGTTTTAGTGGCTTATTTAATAAACCACGATGTTCTGAATGATAAGATGCTGAGATACGTTTACTACCCAAAGAGGTTCTACAAGAAAACCCTCCCCCTATTCTTTCCATACAAATAGAAGAAACCTCATGTGGTGGCCAGAGTTTCATAGTCATAGTCTTTTGAACCGCATTTTCTTTCAAATAGACGCTTATTCAATTGATTCCTTTGTTTCTGGACCCATATAGTCAAAACAGTGAAATTGATTCTTTGAATACACATTCACTGCACAATCTGATATAAGCTATCAAGATGACAGTTAGGAAATTATTACCCACCTCTGATAACGTCGTTTCTTCAACTTCTTCGGACTCCACTTCCCTATTCGGCACACATACTCCCTTATTTTCAGTCACAGCTACTTGGGAATTCGACATTTTCAGTATCTTCAGTAGGGCAGATCAGATGAAGAACGAATTTTGTGAACCGTTTCTACTCCAGGATATCTGAAAAATTGTAAACATCAGAATTCATTTCAGAAATAGAGCTTTATTTCGAATATAAAATCACAAAACGTAATAATAGTCACGAATTTTACTTTTTTTTTCATGGAGTGTTTGTTTCATGAGGGAAAGGTTATTCCATTTCCGGAAAATACTGTTTTGACGAATAGACAAAGTTCTAGGACGAGCCGTGAGCGAGTCCTGAAGTCTGCGAGTCCAAAAACCTATTTTCAGATGTGTTGCATAAACTGTTTTTTCGGCAACCGTGTAGAATTACAAATCAATGAAACACAGTTCTTCATTATATTACATTCTAGAACAAAACATTTTGATTCTTACAGAAATTCGAACTTGAGATAGGTACTATAGTTCATTCGGCACTGCAATTCATCTACAAAGTCATTGAGATATTTCTACCCGCTATGCTCCTTGAGGACGCCGCTACGGAACTATTAAAATAGTGACTTGAGACAAAGAACTTCAAAAGAGGCGGCCGACGGTGTTTATCATATTGTGTTAAATAGGCGTTCGACGGGGAGTAATATACATTATCCAATGATATATTCTGTATGATGCGAAGATACTTGAAATATCGTAAATTCATTTAAATATTTTATTTTGAGAAGGACAATTTATGTGCGAGTTGATTACTCTTTCAACTCCGAGTAATATTTCCGAATCAATTTTGAAATTGGCTCCTGGCCTAAGAATTTTGGAAAAGTCTAAATGGAGTCTTCTGGGTGCTCCTTCTCTCTAAAGATTCACTTTCAGAACATCTTCGAGAAAAACGGGAATCACTCAAATTGCTGACCACCAGATTGAATGAACTTCCAAAACACGTTGCATTTTTCCTTTCGAAAAATTGTTTGGCGATTCCAAAACTCATGTACGCCCTCAGATGTTCTCCCACTTGGTCGAGTCAGTTAGAGCTTGACGAATTTGATAATTTACTCCGCCACACGACGGAATATGTTACAAACAATCATTTCAATAATGATTCATGTCTCCAACCAACTCTTCCTGTAAACCTTGGCGGTTTAGGGCTACGTTCGGCTTCTTCCTTAGCTTTACCAGCTTTTCTGTCATCAGTCAATAGTGTTTCCGATCTTATCGATTCCATCCTTCCTTCCTGAAGGTGAATCACTTTGGCATGCCGCAACTAATATTGCTCCTCCTACAGATAACAGGAAAATACAAAGTGTATGGGACCGACCTCTTCTGAACATTATAACTGATAAACTTCTGAAATCTACAAGTGTATACGATGAGGCTCGTCTGAAAGCAGCAATGATCAAGAAATCGGGTGCTTGGCTGAATGCTTTACCTGTTGCATCTCTTGGAACACTATTAGACGATGAATCTTTCAGAATAGCAGTAGGACTTAGGATGGGTTCATCTATTTGTGTGCCGCATACTTGTGTTTGCGGCAGTATAGTTGATGAGAAAGGTACACATGGTTTGAGTTGCAGGAGAAGTGCAGGGCGTACATCTCGACATCACCAAGTGAACGACATACTGAAACGAGCTATGTTGTCAGCGGATGTTCCTGCAATTCTGGAACCCTTAGGTACCAGTCGAGATGATGGTAAACGACCAGATGGTATGTATCTCATACCATGGAAATACGGTAAACCTGTGGTATGGGACTTTCCTTGCGTTGACACGGTCGCGGCTTCCCATCTAGCCGATAGTTCCAAGTCTGCTGAAACTGTAGCATTGTCTGGCGAGAAATTGAAAAAAAAAAATCTTGGAAACAACTATCTGTTTCATCCAGTAGCGGGTGAAACTTTTGGTGTTTATGGCGCGGAGTCTTTGTCATTCGTTCATGAATTTGGAAATAGATCATGAATGGAAATAGATCTATAAAATAATCGGAGTATTAAAATCAAAAATGAATGCAAATATGGAAAAGGCAAAAAATTACAGCATTTGAATCTTTTTGAAGAAGAAATACAATTTGTCAGTAACTTGAATTTATGAAATTTTGCATATAAAAACAAATATGTATCATCTGGTGAGGTTTTTAAAGACTATCCATTTTCTTTATCCAACCTATTTGAATCAAAACACTATAATTTGTAGTTATAATTCGTCTTTTGATGTGAATCAACTTGGTATTATTATTGTTGACATTGTTAATATCAAATTGATCGTAGGTTTGATGATGAAGATGGATAAAGTCTTCAAAACATCACCAGATAAGTATACAAATAGAATAATTTTCCGCGGTTAGAAATTTGAATTTCGGGTTGAACCGAGCTCAGTTTTACATTGTTTGTTGTTTCGGCTTCGACTTTGAAGCCATTTTCAGGAAGTAGAAAAGTGTGGCTGTACTGAAAGACAGTCTTGCCAAATCTTCGAGACGGTATGACCCTCATTGAGCCATGTTTCATCCAAATAAAAAATTATTTTACCTGGTGTTCTGGCTTTGTTTATTTCTCTTGAATAGTTTCTTCTCCATTCTACCATCTCTGATTTTTTTATTGACATGATCTTTCTATTTTGTTTTCCTAAAGTGGAGTTCAGCTCTTGTGATATCTTTCATAATCTAGTCCTGCTTATATCAGGAAATGAACTATCTTCACGAATATCTGATAAAACTTCATTTAATGTAGGTATTTCGTTTTTTATGTAAAAATTATCGACTTCTTCGTCTATAACCAAACACCTTCCGTCAGTGGATACTTTCAGCTCAAAAAGCTATTGTTTTTCTTGAGTTTCTTAAGAATTCTAAAAATTGTCTATCTATTGACAACGGTCATAATCGCGCATTATTGCCCTACTTCTTCCTTACTTTTTACTTCGGGCAGATATTGTATTCTTGAAGAATAATAAACATTCATAACAACAGTTTTTTCATCCATATTTACAGTTTCGGGCGCTTCACGGTTCCTGAACAACTAGCTTCCATGTTTTATAGCTCTTTATTCAACGCTCTCTCGAAGTAAACTGAAGAATATCACTAAGACTGAGACTAAGACTAAGACTAACCCCTCTACCATGGCCTTTAAACTCCCAACATGAAATAATGTAATATTTTATTCCTATGAAAAAAGCCAAGTCGGTCCTATTATCTGTCTGTTTCGGTCCTATTGTCTGTCTGTTGATGGTATATAATTCAAAGGAATATCTATTTATACATCAGTGACAGTAAGAGCCCATTTTTCTTATAGAAAAAAATGTTTAATAGTCACTGAAGGACGACGAATGCAATGACCTGTGTAATTTTAAACAGCCTGAGTGAATTCCGATTACATCGGCGAATTATGGGTGAAAAAACGTGTTGTGATAGGCTCGACTAACATTCAGTATTTGAAATGACTTATTCTTTGAATAGTCCGCGTACTTTGTTAAAAGCACTGTTCATGATGACTGGTTTCTGAAAATAATGTTTACAACACGGAAGCACTCGGAATATTCATTTCAATAAACGAAAGTCTAAGAATGCGGCAGTATCGTTTTTTATTTTTAGAACTAATTATCATATATTGGGATCTAGTTATATACAAAGTTCAGTCGAAGTCAACGACGTGGAAAATGACTTTTTAATGATCTAGTTCAACTTTAGTTACCAAAACATCATGAGTGGCATATTTGCCAGCTGTAGGTAGAAACGTCAAGGCAAAAATCAGTGATTTAGGTATTGAAAAAAATCAGTAAATTTTTTTCTGTAACTATTGTTTCATTCATGAACCATTTTTTAATTACTACATGTGTATTCCAACATTTCATAAACATATTTCATTTATTTGTCCATTTTTTGTTAGAATTGTTTTTCTACTACCGCTATATTTTTGGCAAATTATCAAGTTTCGCTAATTTTTTTAGCTATGGTGAAGTTGATTTGATTGAACTATTTCAAATATCTGTAAAGCATTCATTGGATCAAGCCAGATCGTTGAGACAGTATTTGAAAGATCAGAAATATGTTGGCTTCCATCTCAAACAATCACCAGAGAAATGAAAAAAAATCCTTTGGAATAATTGCGTCTTTCCTTTTCATAGAAAAATGTTCAACGGGTTCATCTTGCCTTTTGTTTTTATGCTTATTAGCCCAAGTTTTGGTGTGCTTTGTCAATACTAGTTCTATTTTGAATACCCACAAAAGTGTGTGGTATGTGGTAGACTGGTAAATAATTAGACAGAAGTGTTTTTATTCATTTCATTAAAGTGATTATGAATTACCAAAAAAATAAACAAGAATTAATCTAACATATTAATGTAAATAGAGATGGTATTGACTCGATGAGACATGATTTCACAAAACTCTATTCTTCTATCAGATTCATCCTCGTGAAGCTCTTGCAGAATCTGCATTTCATAAGGATGAAATGTATGCATTTTTAATGATTTTCCTACGTTCCCGTCTGTTCTGATACTGATAGTGAAGAGCTCGTGGACTCTACAGCAAATGTTCTCAAAACTTCAACTTGAGCTTCTTCATTCAGTACTTTGGGGTTATTTCTTTTTTTATGTCACTAAACCAGTTTCGTAAAACTTATTCACCTAATCAAGCACATACAGGTGAGTTTCGTTAGAGAGACATGTCCCCCTTCGTGCGCACCTTCTAATTTCTCCATAAATTATAATCATTTCAATTCTGTCTTGAAGAATGTGAAACATTTTTACACTTTTATACTTTTAGAAACCACTAAGCAGCCCAACAAGTATAACTGTATTCAGCATTCACTTAACACAACTTTACTACAATCTACGTTTTACTGTTAGACAACTTTTTGATGTTCAAACCCCGTTCCAACCCCTAATAAAGGGTTGAAACGGTACCACCTAATATTCTTACTATTTCTGATCATCCAGTATAGGCCTACTAATAATTATGGCTGTTAGTTTAGAATGCTATTTTTCGAAAAATGCTCATAAAAAAATAATAAGTCGAGGTACCTTTGGAAGCAAAATTGAACGCCAATCAAAATGATGTGCCACTTGGCCCCCCTTTCCTTTTCAAATTCTAAGGGTAACATCTACCCCTCCTGGTGGTTGAA